TTGGACAGCGAAAAGGAAAAAGCTGTTGTTTACAAAAAATTGAGGTTTGAGTATATGAGCTTCTAAATGAAATTTAAAACTTTTTTGATGAAAGTGCTATGGTAACTCTGCGTTACGGTTCATACTAGACCACATATGAAGCGCTCGCTTTGCCTGTCTATCGTTCTGTTACGAAGTACGGTACAGCCTGAAGAAGCATCTAGGAAGCTCGGATCAACTCTGGGAGGATAGAGGTGGAGGGCAAGATATACACAGCACAGGTCACCTCAGCGGTGCTCCTCCCACAGAAGGTGATGCATACATACATAGGTATGGGCGATGCCAACGGTAAATCTCTGTTATTCCATCAGAGTCAGGAAAAGAGTTACTGGAGACTAAGACCGAACATAAGAGTGCTCGAATCTGCATAGTGGGCTGGGCGTGCGCCGGAAGGGGCGGAGCAAAAATCAACAATTCATAACTCTGTTCAGAAATGTTCTAGGATTTGGGAAAAAAGGGTTCGATGTTGTTGAAGAAAGGATTGTCAAACCCTCATATCGGACACAGTGGTCCGAGGTAGGCGGAGACAAGATCAAACATTCATAACTCTTTTTAAATGTTCTTTGTTGTAACGCACGCGATTGCATTCTTTAGCTCAACTGGTATTGCATTAATGTGTAAGAGCATTCAGCTCATCAGATTTTGCAATCTGGGAAGTTTCATGTGAATTAGGTACATTCTCTGGTACAAAAATCAATCCTCTCTTCACAAATTTATCATCTTACTATGAATCCATTCAAAGAGGTTTCGATTTTCGAAAAGAAACTTTTACTTTCTCTGCTACCAAGATCAATTTCTTCTAGAAAAGAAAGAAACTCCCGACCTGGGGTACTCTCTTGAAAAATATCAAAACCTCCCTCTTTCGATTTTCTTTTAGCTTGTCTAAAGGCTCTGCAATCTCACTCTTCATGAAGACTTCATTCACCCTGCTGTTTGAGAAACACACCAAAGTCATAGTAACGATTTTACAAGTTTCTATTCCGTTTTTAGTTTACTGACCCTGCAGTTCCCCAGTAAATCAAGTAAATCAAGCTCCCACGAAGGGTAAACACCGGAGTGGCAGTCCTAGCCCATCATTTCAGAGTTTATACTTCTGAGTGAGATCGATTTCGATAGACTTTCAACGGCACACCCGGACAATAGATTTTTTTTTCAAAACTTTTACGATTACTGTTGATAGTACATAGTGCTATTGGAATGAAATAAGGTGCTAATGTTAAGAAGGTATAAGTCACAATAACTCATTCATGAGACCATTCAAAAATAATTTAAAATTATCAAAAGTAGGTCCTAAGAACATTAAGATCCTACACTCATTATTTTTCATATACGGAAGCTCAAATGCTTTTTTATATATATTTGTTTATACTTAGTTGTTGAGTGCCATTATCATAAATTAGACTTAAAGCTGTAAGATTGGTAGATGCATCGATCAGAGCTTGTGACCCCATTGCACTTTTGCGGTACAGATGTTTTCGTTCAGAATGTTTCCTATATGTTTCCTATATGGACAATCTGTGACCCTCTTTATTGACATTCCCAAATAATGGGTAAGACCCAGGTGATACCTGCAGAAGGCAAAAGATGGTAAAACTCCTACAGACACTGGTTGTTTAATAACATTAGAAGGGTTCTTCTCACTTTTGTTTATCTCTACTCATTTCATGTTCCCTTCGAAGGGTCGACTTATTGTTAGGTTGATCTAGTGACATCGACCCCTTCGAGCTTCATCCTATTTACAAGTACGAACAGAACGGCTACGGAACAATACGATAAGGTACTGTATTGAGTACAGTCAGAACGGTCACAGAACGGAACGGTAGCGACAGTACAGTGTTTGGTTTTATTTATTAAAATATCTATAATCAGGTTTCTTCATCTTTTTTAGAACATATTCAGGTAGCAGATAATATGGTGTTCTGCAAAACATAAGGGTATGACTGGTAAAGTGACGCGATATATTAACTCTTTTACGCAAACTATAAATAAAGCTGTAAATAAAATTGGATTAATTCTGTCGTGGCATTTCTTCATAGTAATGCCCATATATAAGTGAGTTATGTAATTTGATAGTGGTACATAATGCAAAAATTACCTTAGCTTGTGTTTTGCGGGGGGACATTATCGGGTTAAAAAATGGTCTAGACATGGCGTAATAAAAAGTAACAAGCCGGTTTCGTTGACGTACACGCCCGAAGATGGCCGTGTTATGCCGGCCTTGTTAAGGATGCATTATTCACAATGAAGCGTTGGAACGCTGAGGAAGAGTACGCTTATGTGAGAGACACCCAGACGATTAAAGACACATAATCTCGTACGATCCACTTTCTTGCTACTTTTTTGAAGCCTTATATTTCACAAAACCCCTTCCACAAAATCCGCCAATTTTCGCACTTCCTTCGCCATTCTCGCACTATTCTTTATCATACATCTTTTTCACTCAAGCTCTATATCTTAGAATTATCATAAACTGGGCCTTTAGTTGAATTCTTCATCAAACGTTCCTCATTAATATTAATATCAGGGCGGTGATGGTGTAGTGGCAAGTGGCGCACTAAATCACACGCACGGACAGGGGTTCGAATCCCCGATCGATGCTCGCCTAGGCCAACCAAGCCTTCCATCCCTCCGGGTTTGGTTAATCGGTACCAGACTCGTCGGGGAGGACAAAAGCAACTTTTACATCGGCTGCCCACCGCAATTCATTGTATAGGCCGCATACGCGTTAAATACGCCATTACAATTCTGGATGAGAGTCCAGTGCGGGGCGCATCCCTCAGACGGGATTGATGGAGGCCAAAAGACTTAATCCTTTATCCTTTATCCTAATTAATATTAATATTACTGACATTGCTCTTTCAAGCATAACCAAAGCGAGTAAAACGTGGATTTGATAAGGATCGGTATCCTTATGGGTAAACGACAACCGAGTGGATCATTGTATGAGTGGTAAGCAAAACATAGGAACGAGGTAAACAAAGCAACCTAACACATTAGCATAACAATACTACAACTATAACTACAATCATAGCTTTAATCAGCTCCGCTTTACCATTTGTATCTATGCGTTTCGCAAACATGTTTAAGCTACATGATACTGGTAATTTTACTTAATGGTGACATACCGTGCCAAGCTTATTTCGAGCCGTAAGTTCCTCCCAATTGTGTAATTTCTCATTGCAAAAGTCCCCGTTGGATTTAGGTCGGCGTTCAAAGGAAATCATGAGCTTAATGGTCTTCGAACCCACGAAAATAAGCACCACATTAACGGAGGCGGAATAGTAGCTATTTTCACGAGAATAAATTATCTTAAACTACAAAACTTCATGCTCGAGCAAGATACTGCCGTTATAATAGTGACGTAGTGTATAACCCTGCCAAGAATTACTTCGATAATTTTAGGTAATTTCTGGCAGTAAAATATCCAAATCCTAATTGTATTTTGGAATTTTTTATGATGTACGTAGCGTCTATGTCAGTCAAAACAAATAGCGATGTTATCTGATTCACTTAACGCCTAATGGGTTAAAAAGGTGAATATGAGAAGTCCACTGAATTTAACTACGACTTCATCACAGACAGAATCAGAAAAAAGGTAAAATAAAGATAAACCGAAAGCATTTGGGGCGTGGTTACGTAAAGCTGAAAGCTGAAAATCAATGTTGAATGCGACTACGTTTTTCTTCCCTAATTTATTGGCACGTGTCAGTTACAGTCGTGCGTTCCCTAAATGTCCTCTGTCAGACCGATTTCATTTGGTGTTGTACCCCACACGACTTGTACTATTCAAAAATCAGTTTCAGAGTTGACCTTTATTTGTTGAGAGAGATTTTCAAGGACAGTGTCGAAAAGAAGTTATGCTTAATCAAGGGTATTTATTCATAACGTGGCCAAAGATATCCTTCGATGTTCCAGAGCGCCACATCAACAGTTTTACAGAGGAGCTTTCAAATGAGAACATGATTTCAAAGGCATAGTTTACGATAATTTGGAGATACCCTTTCCAGGTCGATAGAGTGGGAGTCTCAGTGGAGAGTAGTGCATCGGTGGCAAAAGAACAGGGAAATCTGCCAACTTGGCGAGAAGTAGGGCTTCCCAAAAGTAGTTAAAATAAAGGTTGTGCGAGATCACCATGATGGAAATGGCATGGAAGGATCATTTGGACGAGATTTCAGTTGTTACAGTTGCGTGGAGAACTGACTACACTAAACCAATTTTGTCC